ATTCTACGAAAAACATCTTGACAATTTTTAAAAACAAAACCAGGGATAGGGTGTTAGACAGATAATAACTTATATACTGTCTGTAAGACACAATGAATGGTAAAATTTGGACTGTTCTGTTAAAATTCATTTCTTTTTTGTCTAACAAAACAAAATTGTTTTTCAACGAATTATTTCTATAAATATAATACATAGCCAAAATTATTTTACCACACTAAAACATTTCCCTTTATATTGATGAAATACTTCTTTTATATTTCCATAAAAACAAAATCTTACAATATATAAATTTAAACATCAACTGTCTGCAAAATCGTATGGCCAGTTAATTAGTTAAAAAACCAAAAGCGCTTCAGCACGTAAGTTTCCGCTCTAATACAACGCTTAATAAATGGTACCTTCGGATGATTCTGAATGCCAAGTGCAGGAAAAATAGCTGCACTTGCCTCAGTGCTATAGTATGCTGTGCTTCTCCAGTAGCCCATACATATAAAGCGTGATTTTCTATTAGTGTGCAGTGCGTACACATCAAAACTTCCTATGTTCGTTTGCTTTTGAACGTGCTACATGGTGCAGCACCTAGTACCACACACACTGCGGGAATACAAGCAAGCAAATCAACATAATATTTGAATATATTATAAATAATATTTATTATATACCATATAAAGATAGGTGCAGAAAATTATTGTCTCTCATAATTTTGCTACTGGTTAACCAGATACCCCCATCCCACACACACACAAAATAATGTAAATGTAACTATCAAAAGCTCGTGATCTGGAAGCTTCACATTACAACTAATATTTAGAAGCATAGATCATCCTAAAAAGTTGAACAAATACTTTGCCAATTAGCATTATGTAAGATCTTTATTTTAAAAGTATCTTTATGCATTTCTGTTTAGAATATTTTTGCATTCAAAGAAGAAATGTGGCAGTAATATAAAAGATTGAACAGTTTTTTTATTTCTCTTCTAATATAAAAGCAAAATCTAATATTACTAAATAATAAAACTGAATTTTTGCTGTTCAAAAAATTAAAATTTAGTAAGGGTTTCATTTTGAAAAGTTCCAGTATTTATCAAATGCTGGAGCTTTTCAAAATGAAACATATGCAGCATATGTTTATATGCTGTTTAGAACATTTTGCATTTATGCTTTTGTTTAGAACATTTTGCGTTCAAGAAAGATATGCAGCATATAAGTATATGCTGCATATCTTTGTTGAATGCAAAATGTTCTAAACAAAAACTATGAATAGGTTAAAAGGTTTAAGATCTTATGGTATCAGTCTAAGAGCAAGTAGCATCTGAGAATTGCAACGTCACATGGAAGATAAGTAAAGAATCATGTTTCGTTGATTAGAAAGTATTTTTTTTTTCACATTGTGAGTCTGTAAATGGTTATTCAAGCAGTACCAGGGCACCGAACAATCTCTTTTTCACTAGAAATGAGTTACTAGTGGTGTAGAAATAATAGAATTCCTCTAGAAATTAAAAAAGCAATTAAATGGCACTTTTAGTAGGAAAATTGCTCATCAAAATCAGAATACCGTAATTTCCGGAAGAAAGGCCGCATCAGCGTAAACGCCGACTCGAGAAAAATGGCGGGGAAAAAATTAAAATTACACAGAAATGCCGCAATAGATTAAATTGCATGTGACATCGTCGTGGGCCGTATAGATGCAAAAACTCAACCTAAGTCCTGATATATCACATACCAGTTAAGAAAAATGCATGAAATGAAACCATAACTCAAAAATAAATTAAAGGTAAGAAATGTATAGCTTCTGTGCCGTTTAGAGACATTTTCAAAAATTCTCCGCTCCCTTCTTACTTAAAAACTATCCAACAAGTACTTGTACCCAAACTAATGGGATCTGTATTTGGGCAGAATGCCAAGAAAAATACGATTCATGCTGAAGGGGAAATAGGTCAGAGTTCGTTATTGCGAAGGCAGGTGGAGTTTGTGTCCGCCTTTTGAAAAAAATTACAGAATTACAGAAAAGGCAGGGGTGGGGAGAGGATGTGTCCTGGAAGATTCATCGAATGACAGAGGAGAGAGACTATTCAAACTGATAAGAATGTTGATTTGAAAGAGGGAAGAATGTTATTGTTCTGAGATCCTGTTTAGGGTGAATAAGGCATGTAGGTCCGTTCAAGAGAAAGAATGTAAACAAAATAACGTTCGCAAAAAGCAACTGAGTGGTCTTTTGTGTGGGAACAGCGCCAGTCTATGCACAATGACAAGGCCATCCAAACTATGTACAATGACCATCATAGGAAATATTTTATTTTTAGTGCACCTAAACGCCGCATGGGTAGAAACGCCACACCCGCTGAAAATTTAAGTTTTAAACAGGTAAATGCCGCAGCGTTTCTTCCGGAAATTATGGTAATTATGCAACTTAAAATAATTTTTCAATATTGTACATCAGTTACTAGTATATCCTATATACAAGTATATCCTATTATAGGATATACTTGTTAGCTAGTATATCCTCTAGCATTTCGTTTGAAGATGAAATGATAATTATTGTTTTGTGAGAAAACTGCAGTACTATAACTGCGAGGTGAAAGCCATTAAGACACTTTCCCACATGTGATGTCTGCAGCTATGAACTTGTTTGAAAGACAGAACTAACCATTTCCATTCCAGCAGACAAAAGGGCATTAATCACTTCATACTCAAGACTTGATGAAATCATTTCTTTCCCCTTTTCCTTAGCTGCTGAGCATTTGTATTAACATTTGTATTAAACGTAAGTATCCACCATACTTACGTTTAATACAAATAAACTAACGTTTATTTTGTTTTAAAACTTTACTGTCCTCTCTTATTTTCCACTTCAGCCAGAATAAACACATTAAATTGTTTCTGCAAATTGTACTTGCTAATGCTTAAGTATTTAAATTGTGGCTTTTCGCCAAGAACAGAGTTAGATAGAGAGAAAGTGAGCCTCCTTGCCACTGTGTTCCATGCGAGCTTTCAATCAGTTGCTGTCCGCCTTCAAGGCCTGGGTTTTAGTCCTCTCAATATTTAAAACATATTGTAGTTTTCCGCAGCTTGCGCTACTACATGCGTAATAAACTTAAAAAGCTAGTCTTAGCGTTAGTCATCTTGTGTCAAGTATTTCAAAGTTAGCTTCTTATTTAAATTTAGTTAGTTAGTAGGTCTTATATGTTTACGTTCAGACCACAAGTGGTTGGTCTTTGTATCCCGAAGTGCGGGAGCGTCTGTAATATCTTGGAGAATAAAGGGTAATTAAACCCTTCGCATCTTAATCACCTATTTTACCATTCCACAGAACATAACTTCCAGTAAGATCACTGTTCCCATTCAGGACACATCATGTTCGCAAAGCAAATAAGGAGAAATATTAGTCCTGATATAGTTATAATTTTAGTTTTTGAATTTTGTACACCACTGTAGCTATAATTTTATGTGTTGTTTCATGCGAGTAAATTTAACTCTGATTGCTTTCTTTATTTTCAGTACATAATTTAGGTGCAAGATTAAAAAAAAAAAAAAAAAAAAAGAATTTAATCATGGAATGGAAATTTTTTTAAACAAAATGCTTCAGTGTTAGCTAGTATATCCTCTAGCATTTCGTTTGAAGATGAAATGATAATTATTGTTTTGTGAGAAAACTGCAGTACTATAACTGCGAGGTGAAAGCCATTAAGACACTTTCCCACATGTGATGTCTGCAGCTATGAACTTGTTTGAAAGACAGAACTAACCATTTCCATTCCAGCAGACAAAAGGGCATTAATCACTTCATACTCAAGACTTGATGAAATCCTTTCTTTCCCCTTTTCCTTAGCTGCTGAGCATTTGTATTAACATTTGTATTAAACGAAGTATCCAACCATACTCGTTTAATACAAATAAACTACGTTTATTTTGTTTTTAAAACTTTACTGTCCTCTCTTATTTCCACTTCAGCCAGATAAACACATTAAATTGTTTCTGAAATTGTACTTGCTAATGCTTAAGTTTTAAATTGTGGCTTTTCGCCAAGAAACAGGTGAGAGAAAGTGAGCCTCTTGCCACTGTGTTCCATGCGACTTTCAATCAGTTTGCTGTCCCCTTCAAGGCCTGGGTTTTAGTCCTCTCAATATTTACAACATATTGTAGTTTTTCCGCAGTTGCGCTCTATGTGCGTATAAACTAAAGGCTAATCTTAGTTAGTCATCTGTATAAAGTATTCAAATTATTATTTTTTAGTTGTTAGTAGGTCATGTTTAGTCAGACACAGTGGTTGTCTTTGTATCCCGACGGGATTAAAAATATTAAACAATTATTTTACATTCAAGCCAACAGTTAAAATCTGTTCGCAATTAATATAGTATTTTAGTAATTTTGTATGTACTACATGTAACCTCTGTTATTAATCATTAAAAAACAAAAAAAAAAAAAAATAATTTAATCATGGAAGGAAATTTTTAACAAAATGCTTCAGTGTTAGCTATATATCCTCTAGATTTCGTTTGAAGATGATGAATTATTGTTTTTGTGAGAAAACTGCAGTACTATAACTGCGAGGTGAAGCCATTAAACATTCCCACATGTGATGTCTGCAGCTATGAACTTGTTTGAAAGACAGAACTAAAAACCCCCATTCCAGCAGACAAAAGGGCATTAATCACTTCATACTCAAGACTTGATGAAATCCTTTCTTTCCCCTTTTCCTTAGCTGCTGAGCAAAGACCCCCCCCCCAAGTGAAGGAACACAGCTATTTTTCAAGCCAACATAAAAAGTTTAATTAACAATTATTTTTAAAAATGTTGATTAGCCAAGTATGTAGGAATTGATATAATGAAACACAAATTAATGTTTAAAAAAATTATATTCTTTACTACCCTGCATATCTTTTGTTATAAATATGAGAGTGATATAATTTTTTATACTTTTAAATGACTTAAATAAACAGTACATGTTTTTATTTCTGTCAATAAATTGACTGCTATTTTTTCCTTTTCTCTTTTGTTTAGAAATCAAAAAGTAAGGCACCAAATAAAAAGAAATTGAAGAAATATGTCTCTGACAATGAAAAACAAAACTTGTCTGCACTTGTAAATAAGTATAAAAAACAGTTATCAAATAAAATATGACTAAGTTAATGTAGGCTTTTTATTCATTATCAGTAATTAAGTATAAAATTTATCTGTTTTAAGATAATGTAATTAAAAATGCATTTTAAATAAAACATTAATTGTTCATTTCGTAGATTTTGCAGAATGAAGTGTATTAAATTTTTCATTGTTCATCATTTATGTACTATTTTTCATTTACTACTATTCTTAATATTCTGAATTTGAATTTTCTAATCCACTAAATTTTCTAACCACCATACTTAAAATCTTATTTAGTCAAACTCTTCAAGTGAAAATGTTTATATTTGCCTGCCTATCATGATCTCAAAAATTTACAGATAATCTTCTGTGTTTAAGACACAATAACACGCCGAATAAATACTAATTCAGAAGTCAAACAACAAAAATCAGCGTTAATTTACAAAATTTTCACAGGACTAGTTTCGATGGTTTTACCGAACCATCATCTTCAGCTGCAAAACCGCAAATGAACAAGATAGGAAATAATGTTTAGATAAGATAAGAAAGCCTGGACAAGAATAAGCAAGTGGCGCCATCTGTTAGCGAAACCAGAACTAAAACATAATTTCTCTAAAAGCCGAAGGCAAATTTGGATTGGAATTAGGATCGTTAACTAGAACAGAAAGATTTTTTATGAATGTGAAATGCCTCTAGAAATCCAGTTCTCCAATGGAAGATGTTTTTTGAATAATTTTGGCAGCAGAAAAATTGAAAGTGTGATTTTTTCGGACCAACAATGTTGAGCAACAGAAGACTTCTGTGTTTCCTTTTTTCTAACATATGCCTCATGTTCTTTGACGCGAAATTTTAAGGCTCTCTTAGTTTGGCCAATGTAAATTAAACCACCGCACTGGCAAGGAATCCTATAAATACCCCACCCCAGGAATTCATATCCGGAATGGGGTCCTTGAGTATAGAAGTTGGAATTTTATTGATGGGAGAGTAAACAACCCGAAAGTTAAATTTCTGCAAAATATGTGCAACTTTATAGCTAATTGATGGAAAGAAGGGAATGACAACAGAATTTTTATAATCTCCTAAAATAAGAGTGTGGCTTTTAGTGTGTTTGAGATGAGAATTTTTTAAACTGCTTGATTAATAATGTTGGGTGAAAAGCCCCTGTCAATAGCTATTGCTTTTAAATAATTTAGTTCTTCATCAAGGGCTAGTTTGGAGGAGCAAACTTGAAGAGCACGGAAAACATAGGAATAAAATGAAGCTAACTTTTGTTTAGTCGGATGACATGATTTAAAGTGTGGTGGAAGGCAAACCGATGAAGGTTTACGGTAAACTGTAGTACTGAAGTTGGATGTGTTACGTGTGACCAGAATGTCGAGAAACGGAAGAGAATTGCAAGTCTCAAGTTCAAAAGTGAACTGAATAGCAGGATCAATAGAATTCATTGTTGAAAGAACTCTATTTAAATCATCTTTATTACCTTCAAACAGGGTAAAAGTATCGTCTACGTAGCGGAACCATGCCGGGAAGTTTAAAGTTTCAAACAATTTTGATTCATAATAATGCATGTAGATATCAGCCAGGACGGGACTGAGGGGGCTTCCCATGGCTAATCCCTCAGTTTGCTTGTAATATTTATTTTGGAAAACAAAATGTGTTTGTTTCAAACAGAGTTGAGAGAAATTAGCTCATCAATTTCGATGCAAGAGAAATGAAATTCGCGAAGTCTGGTTTCTAGACATCTTAATGCACCCTCCACTGGGACATTGGTGAATAATGATTTTACATCAAAAGAAACCATGAGTAAATTACGAGGAGAAATGTTTTTTAACCTTTTTTACAAACTCTATTGAATTTTTTATGGTGTAAATGTTATTGTCTAATAGAGTGGAAAATCTAGAAACTAAATATTTAGCTAATGGATACGAGGCAGTACCTAAATTTGATACAATAGGGCGGAAAGGAATACCACTTTTATGAATTTTGGGAAGAGCATATAATCTGGCACAATTCGCAACAGATGGGATAAGCGAATGTTTTAAGTTGCTTGAAATGATTTGCGAAGATTTGATCGCAGTTTTTATTTTTGGATAAGTCCGAAGGTGAAGGATCTTTAGGGATCGGATTATATGGTCCTTCGTTTAAGAGTTTAGTGACACCATCGATGTAAGTGTTCTTATCCATGACGACTATCTGGCCACCTTTGTCGGCCTTTGAAATGACAATATCCGGGTTAGAATGAATCTCGCGCATTGTAGCTCTTTCTCTCTCTCGCAGTTAGATTTGGTTTCAAAGGTTTATTATTGAATTTCACATTATGAGCGATAAGATGCCTAATCATTTCTTTCTGTGAATCTGAAACTTTTACTGAACTTGAAAGCTTTTTCGATAGGAGCCAAAATTTTGGAATCGAGGGTTTACAGGTTTGTGATTAAAATTGGACTTCTGAACTCGCTAAAACATCCAAAATTCACTGCCCTTGAACAAAAGTCTTGGTCTAGAACGGAGAATGCAGTTAACCGTCATAAAAACACCCTTGCAGTTAAATTCGAAAAACTTCTTTTACAGTCTTCCAGTTCAAGTAGTTCAAAAAATCTTCCCATTGTAAACATCAAGCCAATAGTTAATATTTCTAATGTTAGTCTTTCAGAAGAACAAGAGAGAATTCTAAAATATAATTTTAACTTCTCACAAACCTGTAAACCCTCGATTCCAAAGATTTTGGCTCCTATCGAAAAAGCTTTCAAGTTCAGTAAAGTTTCAGATTCACAGAAAGAAATGATTAGGCATCTTATCGCTCATAATGTGAAATTCAATAATAAACCTTTGAAACCAAATCTAACTGCGAGAGAAAGAGCTACAATGCGCGAGAATTCATTCTAACCCGGATATTGTCATTTCAAAGGCCGACAAAGGTGGCCAGATAGTCGTCATGGATAAGAACACTTACATCGATGGTGTCACTAAACTCTTAAACGAAGGACCATATAATCCGATCCCTAAAGATCCTTCACCTTCGGACTTATCCAAAATAAAAAACTGCGATCAAATCTTCGCAAATCATTTCAAGCAACTTAAAACATTCGCTTATCCCATCTGTTGCGAATTGTGCCAGATTATATGCTCTTCCCAAAATTCATAAAAGTGGTATTCCTTTCCGCCCTATTGTATCAAATTTAGGTACTGCCTCGCCTCGTATCCATTAGCTAAATATTTAGTTTCTAGATTTTCCACTCTATTAGACAATAACATTTACACCATAAAAAATTCAATAGAGTTTGTAAAAAAGGTTAAAAACATTTCTCCTAGTAATTTACTCATGGTTTCTTTTGATGTAAAATCATTATTCACCAATGTCCCAGTGGAGGGTGCATTAAGATGTCTAGAAACCAGACTTCGCGAATTTCATTTCTCTTGCATCGAAATTGATGAGCTAATTTCTCTCACTCAACTCTGTTTGAAACAAACACATTTTGTTTTCCAAAATAAATATTACAAGCAAACTGAGGGATTAGCCATGGGAAGCCCCCTCAGTCCCATCCTGGCTGATATCTACATGCATTATTATGAATCAAAATTGTTTGAAACTTTAAACTTCCCGGCATGGTTCCGCTACGTAGACGATACTTTTACCCTGTTTGAAGGTAATAAAGATGATTTAAATAGAGTTCTTTCAACAATGAATTCTATTGATCCTGCTATTCAGTTCACTTTTGAACTTGAGACTTGCAATTCTCTTCCGTTTCTCGACATTCTGGTCACACGTAACACATCCAACTTCAGTACTACAGTTTACCGTAAACCTTCATCGGTTTGCCTTCCACCCACACTTTAAATCATGTCATCCGACTAAACAAAGTTAGCTTCATTTTATTCCTATGTTTTCCGTGCTCTTCAAGTTTGCTCCTCCAAACTAGCCCTTGATGAAGAACTAAATTATTTAAAAGCAATAGCTATTGACAGGGGCTTTTCACCCAACATTATTAATCAAGCAGTTAAAAAATTCTCATCATCTCAACACACTAAAAGCCACACTCTTATTTTAGGAGATTATAAAAATTCTGTTGTCATTCCCTTTCTTTCCATCAATTAGCTATAAAGTTGCACATATTTTGCAGAAATTTAACTTTCGGGTTGTTTACTCCCATCAATAAAATTCCAACTTCTATACTCAAGGACCCCCATTCCGGATATGAATTCCTGGGGTATTTATAGGATTCCTTGCCAGTGTGGTTTAATTTACATTGGCCAAACTAAGAGAGCCTTAAAATTTCGCGTCAAAGAACATGAGGCATATGTTAGAAAAAAGGAAACACAGAAGTCTTCTGTTGCTCAACATTGTTGGTCCGAAAATCACACTTTCAATTTTTCTGCTGCCAAAATTATTCAAAAAACATCTTCCATTGGAGAACTGGATTTTCTAGAGGCATTTCACATTCATAAAAATCTTTCTGTTCTAGTTAACGATCCTAATTCCAATCCAAATTTGCCTTCGGCTTTTAGAGAAATTATGTTTTAGTTCTGGTTTCGCCAACAGATGGCGCCACTTGCTTATTCTTGTCCAGGCTTTCTTATCTTATCTAAACATTATTTCCTATCTTGTTCATTTGCGGTTTTGCAGCTGAAGATGATGGTTCGGTAAAACCATCGAAACTAGTCCTGTGAAAATTTTGTAAATTAACGCTGATTTTTGTTGTTTGACTTCTGAATTAGTATTTATTCGGCGTGTTATTGTGTCTTAATTATAGAAGCCCCAAACAGGCTTACATTTTGCTTTCTTTTTTGCACGTGGTGTGGCCGCCATTTTGTGATTGTAGGAGTTTCGGTGAGTACATTTTTTGCAATTTTCAAGTTATGTTTATGTTTTGTACATTTGGATATTGTGCTTTGCTTGTCTGATTTCATGCATTTTGCTTACAAACATTTTGTTTTCTATTCATTTCAGTGAGGGATTTTTCTGCTATTTTGTGTGTACTTTATTATTGCTCAGTTAATTTAGTTTGATTTTCTGCATTGTTTATCATGCCTTCATCCCGTTAATCGTTTCACTAAAATTACGCCTGAAACGGCAAAAATTCCTGAATCATCTTGACTTTTTACTTAAATGTAAATGTAAAAAATTGATCCCCAATTTTATTCAAATCAAATCTAATC